CTAAATGGGCTCTAACAGTTAGGGGGAAATTGGGGCTCCTATAAAGCAACTAATCCTAGTTCCTACCCACTAATTAGGTCTTAACCAGCTCCTATGTGCCCAGACCCATATATGTCTCCAGACTGGCCCATTAAGTTCCAGACTCTGCCCTGGCCTGGAGCTCTCCCACCTTCTCGTCCCTGTCCAGTCCCTTCCCCACCACACGTGAGAGAGGGAACAGAGAGAAGCCATCTGGCTCACATCGATGGAGCAGCCCAGCAGAGAGTGAGCACGGAGGGCCTTCCGGATGATCTGATACAGGTTGGCTGGAGGCTTCTTCAGGTCGTAAAACTCAGAGATGCCACCCGTGAAATCCTCAAACCCCTCCACTGTGGACCCTCCAGCAAGAGCCTCATAAGAACCATTGAGCCTGTTGGGAAAGAAGCAAAACATGCACCATCCACAGCCATTAGCAATGCCAGAGAGGGGACCACAGGGGCTGGGGACAGGGGCGGTGCAAGGACATATCGTGGTCTGGAAGGTAAAGGAGGGCCCTTTGCCAATTTTGCCTATGGGACAGCACCTTAAGCCACTGTTTTATGCAGCCAGCTCAGCACTCTACTGGGTACGGACATCAGACAACCTCTCTCCAAGCTACCCACTCTCTCCTCTACACAGCCAAGGGCAACTTCCAGAGCTGACCCCAGCTGCTTGGGTTTCTGGGGGCTGGTGGGGATGAGGGGGACCCTCCCTCAAGGCTGAGAGGCATCTGCTGAGGCTTGCTTTGGAAACAGGACTGGAAAGGAACTTGGGCTGCAGAAAAGGGCATCAGTAAATGAAACTGATTAAAAGAACCCGAAAGAAGCTTTGAACATCAAATGCCAGTGGGAAGGAGAACGACTTCTGAGGGAAGGGTAGAAACTTCGTTGAGTTTGGTTTCTAAGTATATTTATTTTATTGTTATTATTATTATTTATTGTTCTTCATCATTCTTTTAAAAATTCACTTTGCCTAAGAACTTGCCTTGGGGTTTGAAAGAGGAAGAAGCTACAGCCCCAAGAGGGGAGGTGGCTCATCCACACGTCCAGGTGGGACAGAGCTGAGATTTCAAGCTCCAAGCCCAGATTTCTGTTTCTCTTCATTACTGAGAGATGCTTTCTCTCCCACCCATGGCGGCCCATGATGCCCCGAGTCTGGGGTGGGGAGGCGTTAGGGGAGGGGTGGGTGAGAGCCTT